TGCTACTTTCTGGCAACCCCGCTTTGCGGGAAAGCTATTTCAACGCAGTTGGGCATTTCATAACAATATATACAAATTTCCAGTCCTATAAATCGTCCTGCATTACTCTTCTATACGATTTGGAATAGTGTGATCATTATGTAATAATAACAAAGACAAAATCTGGCAGTTAATGCCAACTTTTTTAAGAAAAAATCAATACATTTTGGGGGGATTTGATTTTTAGCTAAGCTATCTGTTAGTTAAATATTTTTTCCATTTAACTAAAAAACTTCTGTACAAATATTTTTAATTCTATTTAACTGATTATAAATATTATTACCTTTAACATTTTTGGAAACGTTAGATAGCGAGTTTATTAATTTAATGGCTTCAAATTTAAATTCTCTCTCTTTTCTTATCAAAAAGTTTAATCTAAGTAAGTAATCTTAAGAAGTTAAAGTATGTGTGAATCAAGATTTTATATTTTATTTTTGTCTTGTATTAGTTTTATTTAGTAGTGAGCAATTTTGGTAAATGTCGTAATTTTTAAGATTCGCAAGATCGTTAATTGCAAATATGTCATCAATGTACCTAAATGTATTTTAAAAATATATTAATTGTGAGCTGTCTGATGAATTCTGGAACTAAAATTTTTTAGATAATAAGTAAGGGTTACATATTTTTGGAGTAGTTAGTTTTCATTGGAATTCCGTAAATTGTTCTTTGTAATTATAAAGTTGCATACATTTAAGGAAATTATTTTCTTTGTCTTCAGGTAAAACTGCAAGTACTTCTGTAAATAGTTGTGTTTATTGCAATAAACTAGTACAGCGATGAGATCAATAGCGTATAAATGCTTAAAAGGGACAAAAATTAAAGAATAAACGCGAATAAAGTACAAAAAAAAGTACTACGATAATAAAGAATAAAAAATGTAACGAATTTACATCTTCCCGCACATGTCGTCAGGGGACTGGAGTATTGAAAAAAGTGAATTGAACAATCTGTTTCTGAACTGATAATGACGCAAAGTTACTAAATTTATTATTTACTATTTATTACACTTTATTTTTTTTTCTACCTAGCTCAAAATAATATATGGCACGAAGTTTCACAAAGCGTAAAACGTTGCTTTTAAAATAGCTGATACAAATTGTAAAATCAGTAATACTAATAATGCTCTAAAAAGGTCATAAAAATGAAATATATTGTATTTAATTTTAATTTTAAAACAATTTTTAATTAAGGAACATTTTAATGAATTTTCATTGAATTTTAGTTAATTGACTACTTGCTTTATTTAATCTCTTGATAAAAGCGTTATTCTTCATCACTTGGTTACTGTATTTACCTTTTAAAAATAAACATTTCTGATTGAAAGGATGTTGAATATTTAATATTTCGCTTATTATAGAAATGTAGAAAACATATGATTCAAAAATTCAATTGAGGAGACTATTTTGAAAATTTACTATGAGCTAAGAAAGAAATTGTAGTATTTTCTTAGCGTAAAAGGCTACCCCTTTTTTAAACATAAAATGTTAACAATACAGGAAAAAGTAGAATAATAAAATAAATAAATAAATAAAATCTAAAATTTTAAATTACGCCAAAAGGGGCCTTTTTTTTAACATTTTGTGTGTTACCTTTATTTCTTAAATATCATGTTCTTTGCACTTAAACTGTCAAATTCAGTTCAACAGCCATATCGCCAAATAATTTTAAAATGAGCATATCTTTAAAATTTCCGATACAGAGTCTCGCGCGCTGGAGATAAAAAGGTTAATTGGTCAGAGCGGACGTGGTCTGAGCGAACAGTGGCTACAGCGGACACGTGAGGGTAGCTGGGTGGGCAGAGCGGACATTCTTGCACCTATTGTGCTTTTTACCTAATCAACATGTCATCTATTGTGTAGTTTCGAGCTTTGCACCTGCTGTAGAGATAAGCCGATACTTTTAAGATAAAAGGTTTTTCTCATTTTCTCAGTAGATGTTTGATCCTTATGAAGTGTGTATGTCGTTTTATAGCCTCGAAAATATCTGTTATGGAACCCATAGCCATTTCAACAAAATTACTCTCTACAAAAAAAGGAAAAGAAGGTTTAGTTGTAGATGATTACCCACATCGAAAAAATAAATTAGGAATGAGTTGGGTATCTAAGACAGATTGTTGTATAGGAAATGTAAAGACAAATTTTCAGTACGAAGTGCTGAAGAAAACTGAACATTCCTACGTGCCCAACATTGCTGAGATGGAAGTTAAAAGAAAGTTAGACTTCCATGAAAAAGAGTTCGAGAAGATACATCAGTTCCCGTTCCCCAGATATTTCAAGAACTTTCAGAATTATATCAGACATGTTTTTATTTCCTTACTAAAATACCGACATACCCCAGTGCCAAGAGTAATTATTCCAGGGCCTTGTAATTCGATAATCGAGTGCAAAAGCAGAAAACTTCGTCAAAAAACGTTATCCCACTTTGAAAGAATTTTGCCACTTAAAATACTGTTTTAAATTATATTTGTTATTTTTAAAAGTATTTATTTACTTATTTAGCTGTACCCTTTATCTATTCTAAGATGGGAAAAAAATGTATCCTCTCTAACTACGACGAGTTTCGAAGTGTCCGCTTTGCCCACGTCTGCTGCAGCCACACCACCGATAAAAATGTCCCCGCCCCTCTGTACAGTATTGCCGTTGCTCTCTTTAAAATCGTTTAGTTTGTTAATAAAAAATTCGTTGAAGTGTTATAAAATATGAAAACAATCGTAAAACAAATTTCAAATTAAGGCCTCCACATGTCCATATTCTATGGAATATTACGTTATTCAAATTTTGATGGCTCTAGGTACCGTTGTTTTACCACAGAAACGTACATACATTCATGCAGATTCTTCATTATTTAATTTCTTTAAATATAATATTATGCATTTATTAAACTTTATTATGTGAACTGTGGTAATCCGTATACATAGAATGAATCAACCAAAAAGTCTCCATAGAAGAAACTCAAGACACGTTTCTGAAACAAGAGTTTATTAATTTATTTATTTCACAAAATGGAAATAGTAAACTTTTTTAAAGCAGACAGTTTCTTAGGTCTACAACAATGTTTTCTCAATAGCAGTCATTGACATATTAGCAAAATCGATTTGCATATATAATATATAAATTTACAGAAACTGCTTTTTAACTACAGATGAGAAAATGGCAAAAATAACTAAATAATTTATGTACATGTATATCAGGAAATATATCATTTTCTATAAGAGAATGATGAAACATGGGAAATGTTTATTACTTTTAAAGCTTCTGCGTATGAATTACGTTCTATAGTGACTTTATTTGACAGCTAAAATATCGTAAATATTTATTGCTCTCAAACTTGAATAAAATGCTAGGAAAATTACAGCACAATAGATAATTTGCTGCAATAGTGATCAGAAATAATTTATTGCTTTCGGAATTCTAATATGTAGTACATCTGAATGAATATCATCAGCAATTAATTTAAAATCATAAATGAACCAACATTGCAAATTGTTTTTCATATTAAAAGAGTTAGCTAATTTTTCCTCAATTTAAAAAAGAATCTCCGTGCAACTTAAATAAAAGTATAAATTAAATGATTAATAATTTATTACATTTTTCTATAAATATGTTTAATATTTTAGAAAATAAGATGAAAATATTATCAATATTAAGAATGAAGATTAGATAGTCTTCATTTATTCACAATGATTCTTATCTCGTCATTTGTTCAACTATAGTTTTCATAACGTTTTAATTTAACTTAGATTGATTTGCGGAAAATATTGTTACATTAGCTTATACATTTTAAAATATATGACTGCTTCATGGTCATAAACTCAAGAATAAATGTTAAACTTTAAAATTAGGTATAATTAGACTTAAGTTAGTCTTTGATTTTAAAGAGCTACTCATCAAGCGACGCTATTTTTCAATCCCAGAATATTTTGTGAATATTCTCGCGTTTTAAGAAAGATATAGTTATTCTAGGTTTGTTTAGAATTGCATAAAGAATTTCTTTAAAATTCGTTTAACCTGATTTTAATTATTGGTTTACTCTCTTAAGTTGTACCTCACTTAATCCGTTGTGACTTCTAAACTCATGTACAATTTAGAAAAGTTAATAATTAATTAGCAACTTAAAGAATTTTGACATTTATTTACAAATGTTTAGATAAGTAAGAAAAAGTTTTATTGTAATAAGTATGAAAATTTTCCAATCACTTGAATGCTACAGTAATAAAACAAGGCTTTTAAAAAATTCATTTTGAATCTTCCTTTTAATTATCCGATTTTGTTCCTCTTATTTGTATAAATAATGATAAACATTCTGTTGAAAATCCTATTTTTTTATTATAAGAACATATTGAATAACGTTTCTAAATGGCATTTGATTCGGATTAGGAATATTCACAAGTTATATATTACATTACTTTAAATTGTAGCATTATATATAGTTTTATACATATATACATTAATCAAAATATGTAATCTTAAACTGATAAATAAAAATAAAGATTTCTCCACATTAATTGGACATTCTGAAAATAAGCTGACTAACTCCTAATATACGCACTCAAGTTTCTTACACGACGAAACTTTGAACGAAATAATGCATGGCTGGAATAATGAAGATTGACATATAGATAATTCTAAGTAACTTTGCTCATGTAAAATAAAAATAATACTTTTATTTAAACGAGTACACAAATGGAACTTGCAATAACAATTAAATAAAAGAAATGAACTAAACATATTGTAAACAGTGTAAAAGATAAACATGATACAAATATCTTTCAATTTATTCATAAAGCAGAGAATATTAATTCAGTATTAAGAACCTAAAATCAACTAGTTATATTATTTATATGTATAGTATGAATTTAGGAAAATAATATATTATATCTATATATAATTAACCGAATAAATAATTGCAAAGAATTGTTATTTTATGCAATAAACGATTAAAATATTTTATGCTAAAATCTTTTCGGGTATTTTTATGTTACAAAAACATTTCTCAAGCAATCTAATTTCAATAAAAATCTTTAAATACTCAAAAAAGGCATTTGAGTTTAATACATATTTAGTAAATGTTTAGCGTTATATTTATCTCATAACAAATATTAATTGAACTATTTGAAAGTAACTGATAAAAATTTTAATTTGGAAATATTTGTTGAATTCATCGGGAGCTGTTGTTTATTTTGAAAGTTTCTATGCATTGTCTGTATCTCCATAAACGAATCAAAAATCTATTTAATTAAATTTAGGAGCATAAATTAATACTACTAACTTCAATAAGAATTCTAACATTAAGTTATTATTAGTAATTATATTGCATAATTAGTATCACACAAAATTAATAAATAGAAAGACATTTGTTATCAAGTTAAACACTATCTATTTTAAAAGTATTTTTAGCTTAATACAATTGATAGGCTGGTTGAATTTATAAATATCGAGGTTATACTATTAAGTAAAAACGTTTAGTAGCATATCACTTAAGTGATATATTGTGCAATCGTCATTTAATGTATACTAAAACATTCTAAATATGAAAACACCTTTAAAAAGCAGCTAAAAATCCAATAAAATTCAAAACTTTTCAATGTTAAATGATATACGATATACTCACTAATTTATGGTCTCACTATAGAAAAATTATTGCTATATCTGACAGTATTATTGTTTATTAATTATTGCTTTGGATACACGCAGGCAAGTATCTAAAGGTTTTCAGCCTTAGAATATTGCTTTAGATTTTGGAGATTTTATTGCACCTCCAGCTATCTAGTTTTAAAATTTTTCGAGATGAAACTTCTCCATAATTCAAATTGCACTTTGATTTCTCTATCGATGTATGCAATGTAAGAGAAATATGTTCAGTATGAAAACATTATTTACATGTTTGAGATTCTACAATAAAGCTGCAAACTACATTCTAATAAATACTTCGAAAGGTATGCTACACAAAGCATGTTGTTTTTGACATAACAAATGCTGAATATCTCTTGATAAAAGCTTCCTTTTAGCTTTACAGCCTCGCAATTTTATCGAAAACAATTCTAAAAATAACAATACTCATAGAAGATAATGATCTAAATGAATATTCGCAGTAGTTCCAAATTACTAGAGTTATGCAGTTTATATTTCTTCTGGCATGTCCGAATTGAAGTTTTCTAATATTAGTATAATTTTTGCCTTAAAATGTCTTACTTGCTTCAGTTAAAGTTTTATTATTTTCATAGAATGCAATGTTATCGGTCATTTTTTTATTATTTGCCTCATATAAAAATATAAAATAATTTAAATTAAAGACACAAAGCAAAATATATGTAGACATTTAAACATATTTGGAGCTTGATGCAAGTCGTAATTCATAAAATGATACTTAATATGCGGGAGTTAATTCGATGTTGAATAATTACACCTGATATTTATCAGGGGCATTTATGCAAAGTTCGTAAGTGTAAGAATCAGTAATTGTGGAGAAACAGTAGGGCAGTTTTGATACGTCTAAGAAAATAAAGCACATGAATAGTTGTCTTTATTTCATTGTATATAATGTATTTCATTTATAATACATTATATAGCATATTAAATGTTAGTATTTTGTCAACTGTCTCTTTTTACTACTAATATAAATTCAGGAAATATGCTTCTTATTCACATGTATATTTGAGTATGACATTTGAAAATATCTTTCGGGAAATCCAAAACTTTTTCAGTCTATTGAAGCTGTATTATTTACTGTATTATTTTCATTGAAATTATATTTCTGTAATTACATTACACTGCAATTGTAAGTAGCTAATCAGAGTAACCTAAGTTTCAACAGGAATGATAACAAAAGTACCTTTTCTTGAAATATCAATAACGTGGAAAATAAATTTTCACAGCATATATTTTCTTTCAATTATTCTTTGTAGAAATTAATTTTAATCTGTTATATTACCCTTGTTTAGCTTTCAATTATCTTAAAAATTCTTTTTGTCCGTTTTCTTTACGTATGAAAACTTACACAAACCAAACATTTGTGCACTAAATATTTCCTTCAGTACTGCTTCAAGAAACGCCTATTCCTTGGACGCTAAATATATTTTTGGGGATTATTACGGATCTTTGGATCCCAAAGAGCTTTCTCAATAAGTATGCACAGTAGAGATAAAACTCCGTTTTAGAAATTGAGAGATTTAGATTCTTAGAGCATTGTTTAGACAGATTTTGAGCAAGCTTTCTTCTCTTAGTATTTTCACTTCCTTACAAAATACGATTTGCAAAAACGGATTTGCCACGAACGCCTTTTTGCGTTTTCTTTTCAAGGATGAATTCAACTGCATGTTGCATACTTATCCTAGAGTTCTCTTTTGAGGTCGTCGTAATGTACTTAAGGTTAGATAAATCGTTCTTAGCTTATACCCTTAAAGTTTTGTTGAATATGTTGTTTGACAGAGAGGATTTCTTGACTAAAGATTAAGCACTCAAAGATTTGGTGGAATTGATGCGTATAGCTAGAATAACAATCGGTTCCAAGCTTTACATTCGCAAAAGCAGTTACTTGCAACGTTTCTGACATTTGCAATACTAGTTGGAACTGCAGAGTTTTAAAGGGTTAGAAATTGAACTAAATGAGTGAAAATCAAGTTTGAACATTACAAACAAAAGCATGTGAAATATAAATGGTACAAAAATTGCGGAAATTTGCGCGGTTGCCAAAATCTGTCTCAATATTTCTGCTTGCTGCTTGGTTTACATTTATGTTAGAAACATTGTGTTGTAAAAGAAAAATCTAGAAATTTATTACGGATTTTTAAAAGAACCTTATTGATATTAATGAACTTTATTGATGTTTAATAATAAGCAAAGTGTAAAAATATGAGAGCAAATATGAGTTTTAAAAATATATAAAAGCTATAAAATAAGTTATTATTTCAAGAAAAAGCCAAATGATAAAAGCTGCTGCTATACTTGTGCTACATTTGAAAATCTAAACTTTTCCAATACAGTAATCAGTTCTTCCTCAGGAAACACGCAATATGAGTTGTAGGTGTCGATACCAATATGAAACAAATTGGTAAAAATAACAAATGCTGAGATTTGGGGAACTATACAAATTTTAATGCGCATTTTGCCAAAGAGATTAAAAAATTAGCTTAAAATCTTCTATTCATAGCTTGTTACCTAGATTATTTGATTAAAAGGTCATTCTTTTATACTAAATTTCCTTCTGCAGCTTCCCTTTAATTATGTTATAGTACGCTGTGATTTCCATAATCAAATAGCATGAAATAACTAATTTAATTGGCTTAGAATATTATAAAATATTATAATTACACTATTTGAATATTGCGAAAGTATTTTCTCAAAAAGTCATTTTACTATAGATTCGCAGTCTAAATAGGCTAAAAGTAAAAATCTGAAAGCTGTTTCTGTTTTCTAGCATCCTACCAACAGACTTTATAAAATGGAGTAAGAAATGCAGAAAATATTATACATTATTTTCTCTCATGAAATTGTACTGACTTTTCTACCTTTAGATATAATACAGCTGGTCCAATTCATCTTAACTTCGATGCGTTCTTTCAATGGTCCGTATTTTATATACACTCAGTCTGCGGCATTTGGACGCAATCATAGCATTTCAAGTTCTGAGCAGCAGTCGCGAATCGTGTCCCATAGGCGGCGAGGTGGGGTTCAGAGGAAGGGCTCCAAGAACAGGGTCTTTCAAACAGGACGATTCGTAGTGTTTGTTGAGGTATGATTTCAGGGCAAAGGACTTGTTGCATCTAGCGCAGGCGTAGTGTTTAAAGGCGGAGTGTGTCTGCATGTGAGCCCTCAAGTTGGATCTGTCAGCAAAAGCCTTGCCACAATGGGCACAACCGAAAGGCTTCTCACCCGTGTGCGAGCGCATGTGGCCCTGCAGCAGCCAGGGCCTTGAGAAGGCCTTGCCGCAGACAGCGCATTTGTGGCTCAGATTGTGGGTGAGAAGATGCATGGCTAGGGCTGGCATACTCACGTACACTTTGCCGCATGTCTCGCATTTCTTGGCCTGCTGCGAGTCCGGACTGCGATGGGTCTGCTTGTGCCGAGACAAATTAGAGGATGTAGCATAATGTTTACCACATTCACCGCATGTATAGCGGGGTCTGTCCCGTTGAGGTGGCTGTTCTGGCAGTCCCAGAGCATTGCGACGTCGCGACCTGCCATCAGAGACGAAGAAGGCGTCATAGGTGTAACTGACGGTCACTCCATTGGAAAATACATGGAACTGAGGATCACTCACCAGATTATTGGAGCTTACTGAAATGAAATTAATTATATGCAGTATAGTAAAACGTTTGAAGGAAGTTTTAAAATGTAAATCATATTTAATGAACTACAGTCGGTGTTTACACATTTTTAGGATGATTTCAGAGCCGTTTTTAGGATGATTTCAGGGTCGTTAATGTTTAAAATGCACAGAATGCTTTTTAAATGTTCGATCAGGTAGCGCTTTTTTTTGAGCTATAAACAAAAAGCGTGATTTGTATGGCAGAAGGGCCTTTCATAAAATTTCCAGGGGTATTGATCTCCATTCTTCTTCCATTACTTTTCAAAGTCCATCAGTCATAGTGAGTTTGGGTTTAGAAAGAACTCTTTTCAAGAAATCAGTAGCACAATAGTCCATAGTAGAAACGTCAGACGGGATATCGCATAAATACGTTGAAAAGGTATATTTACAATACCTATATCAATCTTCATTTTTTTAAAGAATGCATTGGTACTTTTCGAAGTAGGACTAGTTGCTTCGTCTTGACGAAGTTTCACTCTTTGAAACTCACTGGGATAAAGAAGTGAAATTTTTTTCTATAAATATCGGACATAAAATTTTATCCTGATAATACACTGAGTTGATTTAAATTTTTTTTCTCATTCTTCTTATTTTTAATTTCTTATTTTAAGAGAATCATATTACAATCATAAACGCTTAATTGAAACCTTTTTTGCATTGACAGAACTAGATTTGTACATTTTCTCTTTTTGTTTTCGATAATAAATAGATCTCTTCTTGCTGCAGTCGTTTAGGTAAACCCATCTTCATTACGGATCACATTGTATTTCTATTTATCTTCTGATCTTACCCTTTTTCCTGATTATATTTTTTCAAGTTGTAAATTTTGGTTTATTAATTTATTTATTGTTGCCAAAGATGTAAAGACTTTGCAATTGATTTCTGCATCGGCGAATTTTCTGTTGTTACCAACGACTTAAATTCAGAAATATTGGAAACAAAATACACCATTGCAGCTTTTCGTTTGGAGTCTTCTTTCCATTCTTTCCATGTAGAAGTAATGATTAATGGTTTTTCCCTTTCAGATTAATTATATTGGTTATTCTGCACTGAGAAATTTTAATACCATGCATTTCCTAATTTTTTTGAAATTTCGAAGAAAAACATTTCTCTTCGAAAAGCATAGACACATATCTTTAGTCTACAGTTTCTTTACATGCAGCATCTCGCAAGAAGTCTAAATTTAAAAGTAGCAAACAATATTTCTAATTTCGAATAATAAGGTGTTGATAGAAATTTTCATTCCCAAACATTTGATTTTTTTAATTCTTTATCGAAATCATTCTAAAAATGTGTAAGCATTCTCTGTATGTGCGTATTCGTTTACCAGTTAGAGAGCATTTATTAATTCGAAAAAACACAGAAATACAAATAAATGATTAAATTTTTGCAAAAAATAAATAAATAAAATATATTTATTGCAATTAATAATTAGATACTTTCCATGCTATTACAAGTACATTTAAAATATCTGTGTAATATATATTGATCATTAACATCTAACGACCTGTACCCGACCAGAGGTCGATCTGCAAAGCCGCTGAACACTCTTTTCGAATCCCGGCGAACGGGCTGGCTGCATGAGCGTTTTCTTGGTTTTTCCCTTATGTAATGTGTATACGAGCCAGCTTCCCTCATAATGTTCTTTACGAAGGCATCCCTTCTCTTCGGCAGCTAGCACTCGAGTACTTTGCTATAATTTCCTATATCATACAATCTAGACAATTGTGTAGTTAACCAAACAGCTTTATCGTTAAATTTAAAGTAGGATAGATAATAAATCTCGACAGATAATTTTTAATTATTAACTCTTTTAAAACCATAATACAGAAACCCATAATTTTATACCTTATATAAATAGAATACTTTTATAACTTGTATAAAGAAATTTTATATCCATAATACTTCGTACAGAAAAGTGGAAGCAACGATTCTTTGATGCAAATCTTAGGTTTTATTGTAAAGAACTAAATAGGAAAAGAGTCTGATTTCAGAATTAAAATTTAGAGAAAAATCTACATATTATGATGCCCCACCCGTTCCATCTTTAATTAATTACATAATTATGTAATCAAAATTTAAAAAGTTAAACATTTAATTCTGACTAGTTATTAGGAGTGGGGTGTTCGAAATTTAAATCTTTGGGCTCCTTTTATAATCGGAAATATTTAAATCCTAGAGTGTAAATATCCGACGAATAGTTTAACTTTTAACTTTAGAGAGATTAATCTATAGATTACTTTATGAAGATACCCTAAAGAAACGTTCATTGAAAACCGGTCGCAATTCTCTGAATATCTGAATTACCTGGATTCCAGCATCACGTCATGGCATTCCTGAATATTGAAATCTTACAGAATGGCATTTAGGGAAATCTGCGGGGAATTGCAAGTATCTGCTGTGATATGCTTTTTTCAATGAGTCTGAAGACTAGCTATTAAGCCACACTGATTGCTCGGACCGTCGATAACTTATTCGAATAAATCCCAGATATATCTAGTTACTTATACCCTAACACTGTCTACTCTTAAAGACTGCGTGGTGCATATGACTGCAATTGTCTACCATTTTAAATGTTTGGCCATTTCTCAAATATCTTTGTCAAATAATGTTGAGAAAATGGAACTGAAGATTCAAGAAATTCAAACATGTACTTGGTTTACTAAATATGAATATGTTTCAAAAACTGTGTTCTTAAAATTGTTTTTCATAACATTCAGTTTAAAATATTTTATTATAGAGTAAAATGTTTCTTATTTTCATTTTTTATTTGAAGGATTTTAAATATTCGAGAGATTCAGGAAATTTTAATAATTCGGATTCAAGGAAATTTAGGATTCGCCCCCTCTTTACTATCTCTTGTACAAGATATCAAGGAAGACGTTACGTTTGTAATTTCAAAATAAAAAAATGTAACGTATTTTTCTAAGAACAAAATATAAGTGTTTGAATCAACCAATCAGTTCGCTACAGAGACAGATGGATTTTCAATTTTTCCTTAAATCGTTCCGATGAAAAGAAAACTATTACTCATTATATTCAAACATTTAAGAAATTTTTATCAAATTAAAATTGCATTGATGCCTAAATTCAAGGCGTTAGATAACATTACAATCTGAAATATTATACAACACTTTCAGATACTGTAAAATTTAGTAAATAGTAAACAATAGTAGCATATTAACACATTAATTTACATGTCAATTATTGTTTGTTTGGAAACTAATATACTTGTTTCAGACACATAATAATATTTTGCAGTCATTTAAGTTAATTATATTGACTTCATAATTTACACAAGTTTGTTAATTTATTACTTAAGTTATACCGAAATAATATAAGGTCTTAAAGCTTTCAACTTGTGTTTTTAGAATCCTCATATAACATTTGAATTTAAATTTTGCTTCTGCTACTACATAATCTGTAGACAAATTTCCCACAAATTCACTTAGGCGCAACGACAATAATGCTTATAATTCAAACAAATTAAAAGTTCTTCACCTTTTAATAAGCTATTCCCATTTTTTTGCTAAAACGTAAATACTGGAATTCATAGTTTACTATTTTTTCATGTATTTATAAAATATATGAGATCTATTGTTTATATTTAAATTACATACTTACTTAAAACAATGAGAAGAGGAATACAAGCTAAAAATTACCGAGAATGATTAGATTTTTGACTCATGGATTCGACTGAATATTTTTTCAAACATTTCTGTTAAGCGACTTTTATAATATTTGGTACATATGTATTCTACATATATAGGATGGATGTACGCTTGATGTAACTGGAGATATGAATTATTTCAATTTCTCTGCTTTAGAAAAGAAATGCCTTTGCCAACAATTTTATATAGGAAACTGGTTTGTCTTCACATTACACATAGGAAAACCTTCAAAATGCCCTTGCAGTCATCCAGTTCATTGGGATTTGACCCAGCTGGAAACTGTAGATGGTAACATGACTATGTTACCACTATGTTACAATGAGTTCGATATTTCTCATGAATGAATCTTTACGGTATAAAACCTTTATAGTTTTTAAATAAAATTTTACAGTATGATATTTCACAATTTGTGCTGTTTAAGAATAATTCATTTACATTACGTGCAAAAGCTGAGCTCATGTGGTAGTGTGTTTGGTATAATAGTTATTTTTAATAAGTTAACTCAGGTAATTAATGGAATTTAAATTAGTAAAAAGTAACTGAAATAATAAACTGGCGGTACCTCTACTAGGTGCGGATGGAATAGTTGGAGGAGTCACAGATGTTGGCGGAGATGGCGGCACTAATCCAGGACTTAAACTGCTTTCAGAGACATGACTGCAGAAAGAAGAGGTATCACTGTGGTCAGGGTCCCGATTTCGATCTCGGCCTCTTCGGCTGAGATCCAGCTCTTTATCAAACACGTCGTCTCGAGAATTCTCGAAAGTGAATCTGTCATAGCTTAATAAACTAGAAGGAGGAAGTACATCATGGATGTAACCTAAAAAAAGAGAAAAAAGGAAGAGTTATAATATTTTTGGAAAATAAGCACATTGTGTGATTTAGCAATGTATTCATCAGTTTGTAAGCACATAAAACAAGTATGATGACCTATCTGATTGCACATTTATATACATTTTAGTATATCAGACCTACCGCTACACTGATGACATTATTTCTGTTAACAATGTGGGATTTTAAAACTAGAAAAATTTACTCTCACTGCCTCACGCTAAATAAAACTGCAACATCAACAACTGTTAATCAAAAGCAAATTGACTACCTCAATTTAAAGATATTTAATTGTATCCAAATTAAACTATTTTATTAAAAGAAGATTTAATTATAAAATATAAATTAATTAATTAGCATTCCAACGTTTCTACATGTAATAGGTAATACCATTGTTAAACAAATTATAAGAATTAAAAATATTCGTACTTCAGTTTCAGACCTACAAAATTTTAATCCTTCCTACAAGCTGAAAAACAATAAAATTCCTAGGAGTTTCAGTAACTTCTGTTTTATTAAACTTGCCATTAATTCACTAAGAAAATTTTAAATGATAGGAAGCCGAAAGGGGTAGCGAGACAGATATGTAACTTTTAAATTTATGGATTTTAATTTTGTAATTTATGTAAATATTTATTTTGGTATAATTTCTTTCACAAACAAGGCTTATTTCGATTTTTAGTTTTGATCCGAACACTGTGAATATTTTATGCTATTCTTTTTCTATTTTAGTTTTCCACTCACTTTCAGTCACCATAATTTTCATCATTTTATATTTTAAATGTTTTTGAAGTTACTCTTCCATTTGCACATTTCTCACCATCCTAATATAACCCTAATTTCTCTGTGCAATAAATCACATCCAGTAAGCCACAAGATTTCTTCTTAAAGGTACAACAGAAAAATGGCAAAAAGGGGTTAAATTCTTGACTTTTTCTACTTTTAAACTATTCTAAAATCTTTTATTTTTGAGTTTACGAAGTAGATTATTTGCAATAAATTCTAGTTGTCAAAATTACTGCATAATTTTTATTTTATTTTACTTTATTTATAGCATTTTTCCCAGGTTATTATTATCCACCATTCTCATTGACCATTTTTTATTACGATTATTGTACACAATGTTTTATATAATGTCATATATGAATTTATTTTGCTTGTTCTTTTTCGAATTTAATGATCTCCGATATGCGTAGGGGGGCATTTTTTTTAATTTCTGAAAGCACCCTTATTTGTAATTAAATTTCGAAATGGTTTTTGAACATCAAAAATAAATGAAATGCATTCTCAGATTTCATGATGTGAACGATTGCATTTTAAACGTTTACCCCCCTGATGATGTGAGTTTTAACTGATTCAAAAATGTGACATCAATTTACTTTCAACATTTCAGCATTTTATCATGATTCATTTCTTTTACCTAACGATCACCTTCACAAACTTCAGTTTTATTATTTTGTTAAAAATTTTCATATTCTTAAATATTTTAAAATACATCTGAATTTATATTAAAATATTGTGGGTTGTGAATGTTGATTAAGTTTCTTAATTCCATTTTTTACTTTATGTTAGCTGCTTTAGCTCTTGACTTTAGTATTTAACGTCCTAATTTTCATCTTTAATTCTAAATTTATATTATATATATATATATGTGAGTGCGTGTGTTCACAAATTTCGAAGCACTGATTGAAGAACACTGAAATGTAGATGCCTAAAAGCTGCGCCAAAAAAATGTAATAATAAAGCACAAATTTGGAAGCACTGATGTGGGAACACTACGACGTAGAAGCTTAGAAGTACTGATGGCGTAGATACTTGAGGCTTAGAGCGTCCATCCATTTTGATGAAGAATAAACAGTCGAGCCGGATAAAATTCCATTATTTATTTAAATTGTGGCCACAATCACTTGGAATTCTACTCACGCTTATTATACATTTACAATTTTGATACTATAGCGATAAAAGCGTGATTGCATCTTCAGAGGAAGAAGGCGGGGAGTCAGTTTTCAGTTCGAGTTAGTTTTGGTTTAGAATTATTTTGATTGGGCCAGAGATATCTATCTTTTAAGCTTTACGTAAGATCGCATGATTAATTTGAATGACGCAGTTTAGACTTATAGCGCTATTTTTAGGACAGAGAGATATTGTTCCCAAATGAAATAAACGATGCTACAGTTAATTAAATTTAGAAGTTCGCTTTCATATTTTTTATCTTACATATGTGTGGAATCTTTTTTGCCCTTCTTTACCGCTACAATTTAATTGAGTAATGTATATGTCAATATTCTTTTAATTAAAATATATTTATGGGAAATATAATCAGTTGAAATGTGTTTTCAACAAAGAGTAAAACATATTTACATAAGTAAACTACCAGTTTAGAGCATATTTGTTCGCTATACAGTTTTGTTTGCCATTTGTTCGCTAATTTCTTAAAATCAAGCGTTCAAGTAACGGGAAACACGGGAAATCTCGCTTCTCAAACTGAAATTGCTTCTTAATTTTCCTTTAATGTTTCAGATAATTGCATTTATGTGATAAAAATAATATATCACGAACCAGATTTTTATTCTAATAGCATTTCACTCATTTACATACATATGCACTTAAATTATTTACGCATTTATAAATCTGCTTAAATAAACTCGTGTGTCATCTACTTCAACCTCTGAGCAAAAACGCGGTATTTTGAATTAAAAACGAATACACACTAAGTATATATAGTACTTCTGTTTTATTGCAAAATCTCATTAAGTTTTCTTTCAGCTATGCCTTAGTATTACGGTTACATACATATTAATTTTAATCACGTTAAACAAGCTGTTCAAGAACATAACCTTGACTGTGACTGTACTGAAGAAAGACAATGGCGACGCGGACGGATTAACTTGAACAAAGAGCATGGGTAAAGCTCTGGACAAGCAGAACGTTCCACGATGAGGGTTTTGTAACTAATGTATTTCCATACTTTAAGTAGCCACTGTAAGGATGTGTATTTCATTCCACGTATGAACTCCAATCCTGTATTATTGTAAAAATGGTTAATATTAATTGTAAAGATTCTTGAATTATTTTTTTCCTAATTTTACTGAAAATGGTCGTCTTAAATTTGAGAAATTTATAAATAGGAAACTGAAACCATGAAACTAAACTTCACACGTAATATTCACGCGCAGGATCAAAATCCGATAAATAGATTTAAATGGAAATAGGTGCATAGTTAACAAAAAGAGCTGTTAACAGGACACAAATTAGGATGTAAGACAATTTATGTATATAAACATGTGCATTAGTTGTATTGTTGTATATTATACAACGAAATAAGTAATTTTCTTGTTAGTTAAGAAACTTAATCACGTTATTCACACACATAAAAAGCAAAACATTTGTACTTTTTCTATCAAATAATTTTGTGAAAAAATCTCTCAAATTTAGATTTGCTTGGGGTGTTTCACAAATTAATGAAATATGCTTGTGGATGTTTTATCCCTTTGCGACACAGTATGTCCTGTCTGAACACGCCTAAAAATTTCCTTCTGTACGCACAGAAAACTTGAATGAAAAAGTATTTATAGGTTACTCTGAGACTTCTTTATTTATAGTAGATGGCAGATCAACACAAACCAGTACATATATTTTAGCCATGGTTAGTTTTTAAGACCCTCATTTTTCAAAAAATAAATCTTCCAGATTTTTTTCTTAGAGTATAAAAGGAATTGTTTGAAAAGAAATTTCTATGTTATTTTTTGGCTGTATGCTAATCTGATTATTCTATATTAGTTTTAAATTTTTAGCTTGAAATCTTGCCTAAAATGAAACGGCGAACCCTAGGTATGCCCAGACCGGGCTTACCGATAATCTAGGACAACTGATAGTCTGTATTCTTTGTTTCTCCGCATCTCAACGGTCAGTTCATTGACGACAATGCTCGTTTTCGCACTCTTTTCGAAGCCCTACTCAATCAGTGTGCCACTTTGGGCGCACCCACAGAATTAAAACGATAAGTGCTATCTTCACAAAATTATACTTGTGTACTCCTCTAGGCCTAATTAGACTGTCTACCTTTTTTTAATTTTTTATCAAAACTCAGACTTTAAAGGGTAGCGTGCCAGAAAGGGTTATAGGAAGTGTCAGCCGAATTTCTGAATCATTAGTAGTTAGAAACCAAATTGAGCTGGTCTGAGAGCGGAACAGAAAATGCACATAATGCATGAGAAACATTTAATATCAAACAGAATTTGATACAATTTAAAAATAATTTGAGAGTTTACTCGACATCAAATTTGAGGGAAAATTTATGGTAATTTTAAGCTTTGAGAATTCATAAGAAATCTGATGACAGCCATAGCTTAGAAGACGGTTTTTTCAAACATTTCGAGAATTCGAATACTTTCAGAAGAAACAGGATAATTTTGAGGTTCCAGAAAAATGACTTGAATCGCTATGGCGCAGATTAAGAAGAATCAGAAATTTCGTGAGAATTACAAAGCTGTGATAAGTGAACATTTGAAAGAAGATATGGAGGAAGAATTAGAGGATTTAGAAACTGAAATAGAGAACGTTTCAAGCATCAAGCTGTATTAGAGAAAACAAAGACACCGCAAAATTCCGCTTTGTCTTCGACGCATCATCGTATGTTGAAGGCAAACTGTCATAGAATGATTTTTTAGAAAGAGACGTTTGTTTCCATTAGAAATGTTTCATTACTTTTAAAATGGTGTAAATATGAACTGGTAGGTTTTTGGGAAAATGTAGTTGTGGCTCTGGAACTTTTCTGCATTCCAACATGGGGCTCTTACTGATATGAAGTTTGGCCACCCCAGTCATATAACGCAGCAGTGAAAAGATAAACGACATGCTCAAAATTATATCATCTATAACATCTTGAAATAACGAATCCCATTCTTCAAAACGTTCATGGTAAAAATCGCCGAAAGCTGTGCTTTTTGGCTGTTACCCAGCAATTTGTTATCTGCCAAAGTAAATATA